TGAAGTTTTGAGCGGTTTAGTGACTCTTGCACTGTCAACCGCTTTTCTTCATTCCTCAACAACTATTCCAGATATGAGGATGAGGACTTTAACAATAAATAAAGAAAGCTTGCTTCACTTAAAACATGGTTTTAATTTGGCTTCTATTGAACAAGTGGTTTAATTTATATGAATCAATGAATATGTTGAAGTTTTGAGTGCTTTAGTCATTCTTGCACTGTCAACCGCTTTTCTTCATTCCTCAACAACTATTCCAGATATGAGGATGAGGACTTTAACAATAAATAAAGAAAGCTTCACTTAAAACATGGTTTTAATTTGGATTCTATTGAACAAGTGGTTTAATTTATATGAATCAATGAATATGTTGAAGTGTTGAGTGCTTTAGTCATTCTTGTACTGTCACCCGCTTTTCTTCATTTCTCAACAACTAGATGAGACATCAGGACCGGGACTGTAACAGTAAATAAATGAAGCTTGCCTTAAAACTTACTATTAATTTGGCTTCTATCGAACAAGTCGTTGAATTTATATGAATCAATAAAAATTTGGATTTTTTGTGAGACCTAGTCATTCTTGCACGGTCGCAGACGCAAGTCCTTTTCCTCATTTCCCAAGATACTGCCCAGATGTCTGGACGCGGTCTACAAGAATAAATAATTAAATATTTTTTTTATTCAATTCAACTTTGATGGATTTTCTTATAATGTTGCAGACACCAAAGAATCGGTGGAGAAATCTCCAAGTTGAAAAGTTATGTTCTGTGCATTTGAATGATTAAATCCGTTCCGAAGGTCCAACTAAAACAATAAACAATTAAAATAGTTGTTAAACATTGCGCGTTATTGGCGATCGAGCAGCAGCAACGTGCTAAAAATGTTTATCAGCCGATAGATTGGAAAAAATGAGTAAATTCCGGTCGTTGTAACGGTACCCATCGTCTTTGTATCTCGTCATTTAGCATGCCTAGGAGACTGCTTTTTATGCAAAAACAGAAAAGTGCAAAATCGTAACGAAAATCCAGTTTTAAATAGAAAAGATCAAATGGAACGAGGTCACGACACTGGCGTTGACTAATCGTTTAATCCTCCAGCTAGGAAGGAAGATATCTGGTTTTATTACACAAAATTGCAAACGAAATTCCAACACATCCGTATCTAATTACCTGAAAGCACCCAGGCAGATGTTAATGATTTCCTTTTATTTTCGTTCGATCGAATATTTTTTAACTGTTGATTCTGTAGCGTCCTTTTTCGGGCTGTTTTTGACGGTTTGGAACCCAAAAATTTACATAAGCTATGAATAGAGCTCAAAAACACACACAGAAACTAGAAATCAACTCACAACCTGACTGAAATAGTAGAGAAGACACAAAACCCGAGACCTCGCACAGGAAATGAGACAAACATCTGCAAATATGCACAAAATTACATAAAACTATATAATTTCGTCGATAAAGGATCTGAAAACCCCGTCACGCCATTCAACTTTAAATGAGTTCAATGGGACAAGGATCTATCCGCATTTTTTCTTCTTTTAATGAAGAAATTCCCAATATTCCTCGCTTGCTACTGACATCGATAACAGCCATTTTCACGCCGATTTTCACTCAAATTAATGAAATCTGCACGGCAAAGCTTTTCAGGTTAACATCTTTATTAATGAGCAGACCGGGCACGTAAAGACCGATGTTTGACAACACATTTTCAATTCGCATAATGAAACATCAAACAAAGTGCCTTGCAGATGCATTTCTAATGCGATTCGTGGAATTTATACCAGACAGTTTGAGGCTAAAGATTTCAGATGCAGCACAACGTCCTGCTTATTGGCGAAAAAAAATCCGGAAAGTTGATGTTGATGAGCCCGATTCTATCGGGTTTACAGATTGACCGGGCATAGCAGGATGTCGAAGTTCTCCAGTGCAAAACAGTGTCAACGTGTTCATTTCAAAGCATTAAAGCCATTTTAAACCGGAGGAAATTAGCTAAAACTGGAAAACTTACGAAGTTTCTGAAGAACTTCAAACCCTGCAGCTACAGATGTTGAAACTGTGTTCAAAGTGGGCACGCTACTTAAGAAATTCGTAACTTCCAAACCAAGTAAAATAGTCACTTGAAACGTTCCCACTTCTTACAGCAAGTGAGGAGCAAACTCCTGAAATTTTGTTCACATGCAATTCCGCTCTAAAAATCCATAACTTCCGGATTGGGACTAAATCTGGAAAATTTTGCCCAAAATGCTGCTTCTTTCCTGCTTAGTAAACGTGGTGTTTCCTTCCAATCGCGCTTTATTTCTTCAAATTTCCTGATCTTGGTTTAAAGCCATTCACTCTCTGTGCCCTATGGGGATGTTTCCTCTCTTTTTAATACACACACTGGGCCCACGACATTCTTGTCCCACTCTCTTATTGCGAGGACAACAAACAGACAAGCTAATCGGTTCCTCTCTTTGCTCTTTGAAGCCTTGGGTATGCTGTCTCTCTTTTTAGCGCACGCATTTATTGTTTGCCTTTCTTCTACTCGCTCTTAAAAAACAAATGTGGGGATTTTTGTAAAAATGTTGCCAGTGTAGTAAATGCTGATTTCAACTTTGCTGTTTCATGCAAAGGCAGTTTCTCTATTAAAAATTCATAACTTCTGAGCTGGGTCGGTTAGCGAGTTGAAGTATTCACTGTCGTTAGATGGGGCCTCTCTCTAAACACGGTTAAAGTTTGGCCAAAATCGGAAAATATCCATATTTTTTACCGCTAAGTAAATGCTGGACAACATGAAAGTAGGCTCTTAATGGCGCCCCCTGCTTTAAAAATTGATAACCCCCCAACCCAAGCAGCTACCAGCTTGAATACTTCCAGCTACTTAGGAGGAGTATGGCTCTAAGCTCTGGGCAATTTTCATTGAATTTCTCCCAGATTCTGAATTTTTGCGGTTTGGTGAATGTTGGTCTCAAAATGCTCGTTTTGGCTCAACTGCGCTCTCTAATTGAAAAAATCATAACTTGCGAACTGGCACAGGTAGCAACTTGAAAATTTCAAACTCCTTAGAAAAGGCTTCGATCTATACATGCTGAAATTTTGGTCAAATGTGTCCCTAATAGTGATTTTTGCCAGCTAGGTAAATATAGTTGTTCTGAAGGGGTTCTCCTTTGCTAATACACACCTTCATTGTTGCGGCTATCGGTGGAGAGTTTTCGATCCATGCAAAGTGGCAAGTTATCGAATGAAAAGGCGTTAGTTTCAACATTTTAATTGCAGTACAAAAATCCAATTTTGCAAAGAAAGTGACCCAAATATCAAGAAAAAACCGCAGCCTGATTGTCTGTTTTAAACAAATCCGAACTTCATTACATAAGACCGGGATCCTTAATCGATCAGTAAACCCGATTATCGTCATTCTTCCTTCTACAAAACGATTCATCCGCAGGCTGCTTATTAAAGCAATTATGTAAATACGGGCTTTATTTTGCGCCAACTTTAATTATTGTTTGACAAACCGATGCTGCTACATTCATTAAAACGTTCGAGCATGGAATTGAACGGGAAAAGAAGAAAAAATAACGAGATGCCTGTCTAATTAGCAACAATCAGTACAACAGCTATTAAAATAATCTACTTTCAAAGCGGAATCGAGCCGAGTTTTTACCTTTTAGGTGATTGATAATTAGTAGTTTTGCTCGTTTGATACAAGCCAAGTCCAATTCGATTAGACGGGAAAAATGCGGAAAATTCAGCCGCTTGGTGTCGACGATTCTGTTCTGGTTGAGTCGGATAATTAAAGCAATTGACGAACATTTCTGGAATTATCTAACAATTGCAGTTATTTGTCGGGGGTAAACTGCAATTAATGAACAACGATTTTTGTTCTGGCAAGTGCAGATTCCGCCTTTTCAAGTCTGAAATTTTCTTAATCAGGCCATCAGCAGCAATTTCTTGACAAATTTTCAAAAGGCTGGAATACAGAAACATTCAAGGCAAAGATTCGATCTTCAATTGATTGCAGCTGACGCAAACTCACCCAAACAATCGATGGAAAATTGCTGATTTTTGCCCTGGAAAGTTTTCATAATCCGGCCATCATCGGGCATTTTTTCAATATTTTTCAGAAAATTGCAATTTTGCCCGTTCTTTCAACCTGCTTCCACTAGACTCTCTCAAAATGTGTTCAAAAGTTCAGCGAATGGTTTAGTGCGTGTTTTTGCAGGCCAGAAGATCAAAATCATCTCGATCGCATTCTATTTGCACTAAGAAACCATCTCTTCCAGTGGGAACTCGGCGATTTGGAAATTGTTAAATGCAGAATGAGTTGACAAGATCAAAAATGCGCATAAAATAAATTAAGCATTCGCAATACGCCATACGAGAAGCGCCGATGCGGAATCAATATGTCATAAAACCTACATAAGTTTAGAATTTCCTAAATAACGTCCAATAAATAACAAGGAACATTCCTGCTTGATGGCCGGCCGTAAACCATAAAAGTGGCATTGCTTCAATATTCCCCCGTCGTAAAAGCAGCAGGAAAAGAATGGCCAGTGCAACCTTTGCAGATTTCGGCTGTTTTTCGCGAGAAAATTGCCCGTTAAGTGGCTGCTTTCGTTCAAAGTTCCATTAAAGTCTGGCCAAACTTGCGTCCCGACAATTTACACAAACGAATTGCAAATTTAACAACTGCCTAAGTGTGAGAAAGGCACTCGATTACGTTCAGCTTTGCCTTACATTCCGGCGAAGTTTGACGGTCAATTATTCCAATTTTCACCCGTTTTCCTGCCGAGTTAATTGGACGGAAATCGAAAATATTGTTTCAGATTCTCATTTGGGCCATTGCCGAAAACCACGCAATTGGAGCCGAATAACATCGGAATTGTAGAAGAAAACAACAAAACTGGTGGCCTTTAACCCATAGTTAAGTAGTTTGAATTACAGTCCATTAGATAATTTTTCAATAAACATGTTGCGTCTAGTCTTGACCCGAAGACCCCAGTTATAGTCAAACTAACCCAGAAAGTCTTGGGAAAAACACTCGGTTTCTACTAGAATAGTGTGGTTCTTGCATAAATTTGAAAAAACTGGTCTCAATGTGCTCAAATAACTCTGCATAAAAGAAGGCTGCTGATATAACGGGCAGGACGATAATGGTAAACGATCGCGTATTCTTCTTCTTTCGATCGTTCAATATCGATGCATCTGCCTTATCAATATCCCCTCAAGAAATGTCGGAAATATAGGCCAATGTATGGCGATGCCGAGTCAACTGGGCCGCTCTTCTTCCTCGATCGGCGAGTCGGTGAACGTCCACGAAGACGACAATATCGCGGTAGGCTCAATAACAGTGTCCGTCGTCTTCATCCACATTGAAACTTGAGCAATTTCTTCGCGATCTTGAACTTGACAGTGAATTTTCTTCACATCGACTGCCACCAGAATGAAGACGTGCCGCAAAGGAGTTGCAGGCACCGCGATGGCCTTTAGGGTGGTTCTATTGGTCGTTTCACTCGCTCAAGGTAAGAAGTAATGAAGAGATTTGAAGATCTTGATGGGGAAGCGCTTGATTTTGATCAATTTCCGTTTGAGCTTATGGATTTTACTCCTGCAAATCGTTTTAGCAATGGACTTTAAAATGTGTGAGGAATTTTCGTTTTGCACGGAAATCCTGAAGAAACTTTCATATGAGAAGCACATTTTTTAAGTACAATATCCACAGTTTCAATCTTGTCTAAATGCAACTTTGCAGAAAAAGTGTGCGTAAATGAAGCAAGGAATTAAAGAGAAAAATCAAAAAAGACAAAAAAACTTTTTTGTGATCAGAAATCGTGTTTAAATTGAATAAAATGGCTACGAAAAGTCGAATGTCGAATTTTGAAAATCTTCGAATTAAACTATCAAAATCAGCCAAATTTTGCTTCATTGAAAATTTTCTGCTTCTGATTTGAGATT